CATCACATAAGAAAAAACCAGAAAACAAACGTATTCAGGAGTTAGAAGAAATCATTAAGTCTTTAGAGGCATCCACAGAAGAAGAGTTACTGAGCAAATTACGTAAAGCTAAATTAGAACTTCTTCGAATTATTGACAAAAAGACACAAATTTAGCACATAGACTATGAATAGAAAACTTTGAACATAGTAATAAATCAGGTAAATTTTTAGCGAGCCAGTTAAAAATTAATAAAGAGAAAACTACCATATCTGCTGTTAAAGACTCAACCGGGAATATAGTTAATGACCCTGAAAGAATAAACAACCCCTTCAGAGACTTTTACCAAACTTTGTACTCACCACAGATAAACCCATCAGATAATGAGATCAATGAGTTCCTTGACAGGATAACACTTCCTAAATTATCAGACAGCCAATCTACAGTCCTGGACTCTCCACTAACATCAGCTGAGCTCCAGGAAGCCCTTAAATCCATGACTAATAGGAAAGCTCCAGGTCCAGACGGGTTTCCAGCAGAGTTCTACAAAGAATTCTGGATCATTCTGGCTCCGACATTTTTCAGAATGGTGAGGGAAATCGAAGAGAGCGGCAGATTACAGCCAAACATGAATTCAGCCAATATTAGTCTCTTGTTAAAACCAGGCAAAGACCCTGCATTTCCTACCAGCTATCGCCCAATTTCTCTTATTGTTGATCTCAAAATAATTTGTAAAGCCCTGGCAAAAAGAGTAGAGAAGGTAACCCCCTTCATAATACACCCTGACCAAACTGGTTTCATTAAGGGTAGGCAGTCATCCACAAACTCGCATAGATTACTTAATTTGATAGATTTCTCTTACAGTAGAAACATAGAAACTAGTATATTATCTCTAGATGCATCTTAGGTGTGTTCTTGCTGTGCGTTATTTCTAATTCCATGTTGTCGTTCTTTTATAAAACACAGAAACGGTTTTGTTACCTGTTATTGACGCTACAATTTTGCAGATGACTGCCAGCTTCTTCAGGCTGACGCTGATGGTGGCGCGTCACTTCCTTCTCTGTTTATCTGCGGGCAGCAGAGGACGTTGTCGCCCTCTACTGCCCGCTCTCCCCTCTCCGACGATGCAGTCCCATGCGTGGTCCAGCATGTAAACTCCGTCGTCCCTGTTCATGGTCCCACATCCACGTCTCCTTATCTCGATTGCTTCCTTGATCCATCTTTTGTATTTTTGTTGTTCAGTGGTTATGACTTCAGACAACACAACATAACATGAGACTCCAATAGGAAGGCAGGGGGGGCTGGGATCCTGTTTACCCCAGCGAGAGCAGCCATCTACGGTGCTCATCTACTGTACAGTCACAGGTGGGAGGGAGATCTTGGGAGAAGCAAAGAGCACATTGACTCCTGCAGGTTGATGACCTCGCCAGGCTGAAGTCCACCAATCTGAAGTCGGGGGGTCGGGTTTTCTCAGCATCTGTCTGCATTCCTTTGTGGGGGTTTTGGTTGCTTGCAGCTCAAGGCTACCAGGGCGTAAGATTCAGATAACAAGAAATTGTTTGGGTCAGGCTGAGATAATTTTCCTCTCTGCCTTCAGTCATTAAACTGATCATTTCCAGTCCTTCAGTGAAGCCATTTTGGGTTTTTTAAACCTGTTGATACCGTCCGGTGACCCTCTCTGAGATGACATCCATGTTGCGCGCTAATACCGGTATCGCAGCTAGAACATTGTCCAGCTTACAATTCACCTCGAGTAACGTCCCAGTCTGAAAAGTCTCCACACGGACGGTGCTTTCCGTGGGTGCGGGTCGCCCTCCAATCGCTCCCGTCTTCCCAAATTTCCAGAAAACCAGATATCCTCCCACTCCAATCTTGAGAATTCCAGTGATCATCAGGCCGAATATCCACACGTCTTCGATGTCCTCAACGGACAGCTGGCAGAGGCATATGATCTTCCACGCCTTCCAGAAATCCAACATATATCCCACCAGGTGCGTCCCCTGTGGACATGTGGGAGCCCCCTGCTCCGTTCTCATTGAAAAAATCTTATCAATCGCATTGAATGACCAGTTTATCAAATCCATGGTCAGTAAAAATAAAGTTTTTCAGAAGAAATGCAGAGAACCGCTCTGTGGGCAGACAGGACAAAGAGTCTTGGGAAAAAAAGATAAGGGAGCGAAAGAGGGAAGCGTCTGTACTCCTCGAGTGCCTGAAGTGAAAATAATATTCAGTGCGTTTACATGCAGCCAGTAACCCTTTTAAAACCCGAATGTTTGGTCGTGTAAACGCATATCGGGATATCCCCATCAAAGCGTGTGTTCTGCGCATGCTCTGTTCGCAAGGAATCTTGTTCTTTTGAGTAGCGAGACGTCTTGTATGCGCCAGAACACCGGAAGTAAACAAGTTGGGAGCAACATGGCGAGTCGCGGCACAGCACCACACTTTTGGAGTGACGAGGAAACTAAAGTGCAAACAAATGCGGTCTCTATATCTTCCGAACTGGGAAACATGTTGTTGTTTTCACGGATACCAGAACAAGAAGAACGAGAAATGATGCATATTGCGTCTGGACGTAGTCCATACGTCCTGACGCTACCCCAACGTCCGCATTTAAATCGGGTTATGTAAGTTAGGGGTAACTCTTTCTATTTATGCTTGTAAACGGGTTATTCTGATCAACTCAGAAACCCGAATACCGACCTTAACCCGATCATAACCCGTATATTGGCTGCATGTAAACGTAGTCATTGATCTAAAAATCCTCTCTAGATCCTTGCTCTGCGTCTGCAGCGTGTTCTGTCACCTATCATAGCGCTGGACCAGACGGGCTTTATGAAGGGACGTCAATCCTCACATAACACTAGGTGCCTGCTTAATATCATTTACTCATCCAATTCTAAGGTGCCAGAGGTTGTAGTGTCCCTTGACGCAGAGAAGGGCTTTGACAGGACTGAAAGGTTTTTTTTATTCAATGTGATGGCGAGGTTTGGTCTCAGTGAAGCCTTTATTCTTTGGACCAAATTGTTGTACTCATCTCTGAGAGCTTCTGTTCAGACTAATAATATGTTGTCTCCTTCTATCCATCTCTGTCGTGGCACCAGGCAAGGCTGTCCTCTATCCCTGTTACTCTTTACCCTGGTCATGGAGCCACTTGCTCTCCGGTTGCTCTCAAAGGTATTGTACATAAGAACACAACTCATAAACTGTAACTATATGCGGATGACCTCCTCCTATATGTTTCTGACCCTGCAAACTCTTTTCCGGTTATTTTCGATATCCTAGATTGTTTTATTGCAGTCTATGAATTAAACTACCAAAAGAGCGAGCTCCTGCCAATCAATACACCAGCCTCCTCACTTCCGCATACAATGGTGCTGTTTAAATGGTCGACTGGTGGCTTTCTGTATTTAGGAATTCATGTTACCAAGGTCATATCCGATATGTTTCAGGCTAACTTTGTGCCGATAATCGAGAAAACGGAGCAGGATTTTGTTCGGTGGTCGAACTTGTCCCTCTCACTTGTAGGCCGTATCAATTTAGTTAAGATGGTACTGCTTCCAAAATGTCTTTACCTATTTCAGCATGCCCCTGTTTTGCTAACCAAAGCATTTTTCGGTAAGTTAGATAAGCTAATTTCATCTTTTCTATGGGGAGGTAAACCGGCCAGGATTCACAAATCAGTTCTCCTATCACCTAAAGAGAAGGGAGGTTTTGCCCTCCCTGTATTCAGATTATATTTTTGTGCTGCAAATGTACAAAACCTTCTTTTTTGGTTACAAGATGAGTCTGTCTCTCTACCAGCATGGGTACAGCTGGAGCAGGAATCAGTTCCCTTTTCTTTATGTTCCGCAGCTTCCATTACCACTTTCACATCTGTCTAATTCTTGTTAGTTAATATGTCTTTGAAAATTTGGAAACGGATTAGAACGTTTTTCGGCCTCCAGGGTCCTGCAGTTTTAGGCTCTGTCTACGGAAATTGCCTATTTGAGCCTTTAAGGACTGACCTGGCATTTAAGTTATGGCAAGCTAATGGTATCAGATCCATTGGTGATTTGTAAACACCTTTTGCTCCTTTCCTCAAATTATTAAAAAATACAATTTACCTAATAACCACCTTTTTTGCTTTTTTCAAATAAGGGACTATGTAAAGAAGCAGTTTCCCCACTTTCCAAATTGCCCCCCAGAAACACTTTTAGAAACTCTTTTGGCCACCGATATCAACGCTGGGAGGTGCATTGCTGTGCTCTATGGTCTGATGTGGTCGACTACAACATCAACTCATATCGCTGTAACGTCCAGCAAAGGTCAGTTTTTAGGTACAGTTTGACCATTCAACATCTGGTCAAAAAGGAGACACAAGACTGCATGTGTCCCCTTTAAATCAGCCTGCCTTCATTCCACCAGCTGGAGCTCAGAGCCTGCAGCTCTGAACACAGATAAGGAAATGTCAACAATAATGTTCTCTCCTCAAGGTCCAATCTTTCAGGACTCTTCATGCCTCCACATAAGGAACACTCGCAGCCCAGATTTCTTAAATCAGATATGAACTTCTACAACTTATAAGCTAGATAATCATTAAATAAATGTTTGTTTATTGCTACTTATAATAATTATAATATAATTAAATGTTTCATTAATCTGTGCTCAATGATTGAAGTTTTTAATTAATGTTATGTTATGATTACAGTGATTGAAATATGTTTCAGCATGTTAATATGACAAGGTCTTCACCATTTGCACTCACACAAGAACAAAGTAAGGTTAAGTTAAACTCATGATAGATAGTCCTTTACCCCAGATCAGAGCATCCAGTATCAAGGAAGGCGTGTTTGTGAGATTCTTGGTAATATTTCTCAAACTTGTCAACCTCTGGTTGGCTACACAATTCATAACATGAGAACATTAAAACCAGATTACTCTGGTGGTTCCTCAGTTCTAGAGAAAGCTTCAGACCAGCCATCTGAAGCAAAACCTTCTTTAACCATCAAAGCTTTGGACACGTCGTCAAAACCTTTTTGCACCTGTGAAGCTGATACAGCAAAACGTTCCTGCAGAACAAGCTGATATTGTTTAGACTCCTTCAAAGTTCCAGACACGTGGTTCCATCCATCTGTCATGACCTGAGACATCTCTGGACTGGAGAAGTCGGTGCTGTGGTCAATCTCCTGGACCTTCGGTGCCAGAGGTTATCCGACCTCTCTGACCTTTGGATCCACCAAGAGGGTCTCCAGAACAGCTGAAGTAGACACACAGATAGCATCTGATGTGCTTTCGATAATAATCAACTTCATAGCTTAGCGCAACCCAAATTCTTTTACATCCAGAACTCAGCTCTCCTAAATCCGGAAGTTCTGACTAACATCGCATTCACACATAGGTTCAAACATCACATCTAGTTCCATCCATCACAGTAAATGCTTAGTTAACTTGTCAAGTTTTAATTGTTGGTAAAATAAATTCTTACTTTTATAAACCTGACTGTTTTCTGAATCAAAATGAAGTGTGTACAATCCCCTACAGGGATTCCCTAAGTGTGGTGCGTGCACCCCTGGGGGGTGCGCGAGCTGCCGTTAGGGGGTGCGCGAGGTGAAAAGTGTAATGGCTGCGGAGTTCAGAGAAGTCTGTCATATGTCACCATTAGCGTAGCCAGAAACTCATTTGTGGGTGGGCCTAAGAAAAAGTAAGTGGACCCAATAAATGCAATTGAAAACAAGTATATTTTGCTTGTGTGTGTGTGTGTGTGTGTGTGTGTGTGTGTGTGTGTGTGTGTGTGTGTGTGTGTGTGTGTGTGTGTGTGTGTGTGTGTGTGTGTGTGTGTGTGCGTGCGCCCTAGCTTCAAAATAATAATGCGCTCTGAGCTTCAGCGCTCTGGCCTGTGGACAGTGGGCTGAAGATCTGTAGAGGGGTTCGCAGCGCAGCGCAGAACCACGGCGATGCGGTAAGATTTCCTCCCACTGAAACGGTCTGGAAACCCGGTCTCTCTGAGGGATGTGTCACTTGGAAAAATGTTCGCTGATTATGAAACTTTGGCTGAATAGCGCTTGTTCCCGTCTCTAATATGGAAACGCATGACACATCCAGTCTGAGGCAGAATAGCCTCTTCAGCTCAGAAAGCACTGTAGAGACATTTGATCACACACAAAGTTTATGTGGAGCAGAAGCGGTCGGGCCACGGCAGGTGAAATGTTCCTAGCCTACATGAAGTGAAACTGTTTAATTGTAACATTAATATGTTACTGGACACGCTGGTCTGGTTGGTTAGACCACTGTTTGAAGTGGAAAACACACACACGCACACACACACACACACACACACACACACACACACACACACACACACACACACACCAATTAAAATAATGCTGATAGCGTGGACTAGAAGACAGGTGATGGTTTACGTATTTAAATGATGATCAGGCTGCTGTAAAATGTAATCTCCATCCACATCCAGACACAATTATCCTCTATTCTTTCTCTAGTTGCTCTGCTCTTGTCTGGGCTGATCAGCTGATGGTGCGCGCGGCGCGCCTAACTAGCGGCTGATGCACATTTTACGCATTTGGAGAGGTGGGCTGGATGCTTTGTTTTACTGGAAGAAGGTCCACTTAACGCACGGGTGTAGACTACATATTAATGACAAATGAATGAAAATGAAATTGTGAGTTTTTACTTCATATTTTATAAATAAAAATGACGGGGGAAAACATTTATGACGTCTTTTAAAACTATATTTTCTAGCGCGACCTGCCTGCTTCACTTAAGTCACTGCTTATTAAGGTCCGTCCAAAATCACCATAGCCCATGCACCCAAAAATTAAAACCTGGCGCCGCGCCAGTTATAAACCTCTGCAAACTGTTGTTCTTCACTTTATCAAACTCAGACTTTGTACAGCTAATGTCAAGATGTAAAACTATGAATGCAGTCGAGCTCTTCCGTCCCTCCCTCTCCTGCTCTCCTTGAAACCCGACATTGGCTGTCAGAAAAGGGAGGTAGGTGAAGAAGGAGATGAAGCAAACTGAGTAAGTGTGATGTAAAGAAACCAGACTGGTGTGGAGGTGAGCAAAACAACTGGAAAAGTGAGGGTGTCAGTTGAAAGATCTCAATAAGAAAAGTGTGGGTGTTAAATCCCCCACTGGTGCGACGCCCATGCCGAAGACCCAGTCCCAGCGAAACAAGCTTATACCTTGGGTGCACATGTTTGACCCGAGTTGTCATTTCAGAGGCGGCGCAACGTTCTTGTTTGACCGGTTATTTATACTGTTGCACTGTTATAGCGTTCTGTCTTCTGGTCAACCAGAGCATCTCATTCTCAACTGTGGGGTTATTCTCTAAGCACGGTTGTGAGTGCTGCGGTGACGTCTGCAAAGCTTTTGGAAAATATTTAAACACTTATTAAAATAAAGGTGTTGAATTAAACAGTTGCCTCATTTTTTGTAATTTTTTCAGTACGCAAAAACATTAAGAACAAATGTATTCAACTGTACCAAATGATGTTCAGTATTCAGTGCCTGACACACACACACACACACACACACACACACACACACACACACACACACACACACACACACTAAAATGTCGACTATTAAAATCCATCCAGCTGATGCGAGGCAGGCAGAATAAAACCTACAGGTACAAGAGCCTAGCTTTAGACCGGCCTGTTGAAGTTCTTTGATGGTTTCTGCGGTTCCAGGATGAGACTTTTACTTTGTAAAAGAATCGAGCCTCGTTGGATGTTTAGAGAAAGGCTGGGGAAACATGTGGCTGCTGATGTTTGCAGCTGGAAACATCTGTGAGAACAGCCATCAGACCTCCTCTCTCTGAAGGTGTTTGTGTTGCTGTGGTCTGACCTCCATCCACCCTGTGGGACCAGCTGAGGCTTTGTGCTGGCTTCACCCACAGGAAACACACCCGTGAGAAACTCCTACAAATGCTCATTTGACTCTTTTCGAAGCACAATGCAGCAAGTAAATGTGCCACATTTCCTCTCACAACAAGAGATACCTGCTCCAACAGCAGATCAGCCTTAGGGATGAGTGTGATGAAGAAGATTGTGTGATGTTGTGACTCACCTCCATGGAGCGATGAGGGCTCGTAGACAAATCTACCTGGAAACACAAACACAGAGTGGGAGGTCAGAGCAAAGAAGAACCATAACAAAGGATTTCTCCCCATGATACGTGTGTGTGTGTGTGTGTGTGTGTGTGTGTGTGTGTGTGTGTGTGTGTGTGTGTGCGTGCGTGCGTGCGTGCGTGCGTGCATGTGTAGTGATCAGAAAATAGCCTCCAGCAATACCCAAAACAAAGGAACCAACAACAAGAACAGGGTGGTCCCAGATCTGCAGCTGTATGTTACTGATCATGTCTTCCTCGTAGCTCACCATCCCTCAAGCGCTTCAAACATCAGGCCCTTTAGCTCCTGGTCGAATGATCACAACTTCAGCACACCTTGCTGCTGAGTTGTAGTAGCACGCTGGGGACGTACATAATTGACCGGTTAATTGCCGTTATGTTGCACCCGGGTAAAATTGTTTTGCCCAGTTAACTGCCACTAGAGGACCCAAGAGTGTCGCTATCAAATATGTTTACTGGGAAACTGCGGAAGAAGAAATTAGCTCATCACATGACCAAACAAATGTGCTCAAAAATAAAGCAGTTAGCAAAGAGCACTGTGTGGAAGCAGTCTATTAGTTATTGGTTTCAGTTTAACCGGCTGTTACCCATTAAGGGGCGTCAATGATCAGTTACAGAAATATTGGAACACGTGCATCCCTATTGCACGCTGCATTTTCTTATCAGTAAGGCAAACTGCGTTATAATGATGTAGACCGTAATCTGTTGGATTACATGTTACTGAACGAACTAACTCTCGTTAGTAACGCAGTTGTTTGAAACTTTCACTGTTATGCTGACGATACTCGGTTATATTTATCCATTTAACCCTGACGAACCTGATCAGTAAGGTAGATTGCTGTTGTGGCACCTTTGCTGGCTGTTTCTGCCTTTCAACTTGAAGCTCATGAGCAGTAGTGACCATCCAAATCAACCTTGAACCAGAATCACCGTGGAAAACAGACATCATAGCGAGCCAGCAACATAGCTCTAAAGTTTGGGAGCATGTTACAAAGACAAAAGAGAAGCACGTTAAGTGCAAAACCTGCAAAGTGAAACTCTCCTTTAACGGGACAACATCGTCGATGCAAAATTTATTACATCAAAACTGGATTACTGTAATCCATTACTATCAGGAAGTCCACAGAATGTAGTTAAAAGTCTTCAGCTTGTCCAAAATCCTGCAACTAGAGTTCTGATGAGAATTAAAAAGAGAGATCATATCTCTCCTGTCTTAGCTTCCCTACATTGGCTACCTGTTAAGTTCAGAATAGACTTTAAGATCCTTCTTCTCACATATAAAGCTCTTAATAATCAAGCTCCATCATACATCAGTGACCTGATTGTTCCATACGTTCCTAACCGAGCACTTCGCTCTCAGACTGCAGGTTTACTGGTGGTTCCCAGAATATCTAAAAATAGGATGGGAGGCAGATCTTTTTGCTATCAGGCTCCTATCTTGTGGAACCAGCTCCCAGCTTTAGTCCGTGAGGCAGACACCTTGTCTACTTTTAAGACTAGGCTTAAAACATTTTCATTTGATAGGGCCAATGGTTAAAATCTGATGTTAGCCTAGATCTGCACAAGTAGGGGAGTAGAGGGAGGTGGAGTGTACAGTCGGTAAAGACGACTCTCCCCAGCCATTTAAAATTGTCCCTCTCCTGATATTACCATTTTACCTTCTTTGAATTTCTGTTGAAATAATTATACATTCACTTCAAGACAATAAAATGTATCTTTTACGAAATAGAAAATCAAATTAGCAAAGGGTAGAATGTCTTCTCCAGGTCAGGGATGAGGTCCTGCCTCAAGTCGAGGAGTTTAAGTATCTCGGGGTTTTGTTCACGAGTGAGGAAAAGATGGTGCGTGAGATCGATAGGCGGATTGGTGCTGCATCTGCAGTGACGCGGGCGTTGTACCGGTCTGTCGGGGTGAAGAGAGAGCCGAGTCAGAAGGCGAAGCTCTCGATTTACTGGTTGATCTACTTTCCAACCCTAAAATATTAGGGGTGCAATTGATCACCATTGATCCGTACGGATCTCACTACGATTCGGCACGCACGCAGTTTGCGGATCGATCACGTGGAGGGCAGAGGCGCTACCTGTTCAATTCAAAGTAAAAACACACAGAGGTGGTCATGATGCATTTAAGGTCCTCTGTAAAATACAACGATGATACAAACGGCAAAAATGAACACGCATGTCCAGTCTGATGGCGCAGTGCCGCACAAACATACCTCCGATCGCTGTGAAAGGAGGGAGGTGGTGGTGCGTGAAACATGCCTTGGACATAACATAAACATGGCGGGACCTGTAAATGTTGTTGGGGACAAATCTGTAAAAGAGGACAAAAGAAACATACAGCGTATCAGAAGGGTGAAGAGATGAGGGAACCCCATCGAAATATAAAAATATGGACATAGCCCGCCCATTGCTCCCCTGGAGGGAAAGTTAAGACAAAAATGGGAGGTTCCCATTACTGATTTTTTGACTGTGTCACACCCAGACATTCCAAAAATGGGAAAAGAGGTGGAGCTGAGGGTGGGGCTGTTACATTTAGAACAGGGTTGGAACAAATGAAACTAATCTAGCTACTAGCTAACTTAGCTAACCCAAGAAGCTAAGAAGGGACTCCAGAGACTGGGGTAGCCCACCCACATAGCCCACTGGCTTCAGGCTATAGTCATGTTGGTCGCCTGTGTAGATCTAATATGGAGTGGCACTGTTAAAAACAAGCTGAGCCAGACCGCTGTGACCGGGAGCTCTGGCCTTCCAGATTAGGTCATCCTCCACGGGTGGAGATCAGCGGGTCATTTGTTACATGCTAACGTGGTAAAACGACTCATAGAACGCCGTCGCTCTACCATGTTTTTGTTGCTACAAACACCTGGAAAAACTCTGTTAGCTTTGGGTTAGCATGTAGCTAATGTCCCGCTGATCTCCAACTGTGGAGAATGAGCAGATCAGAAAGGCCAGGGCTTCCAGTTTCGTGATTTGGAATTGTAGTATGTCCAAGGACGGTCCCGTTTTTTTTAACGGCTCTATTATAGAGCTAAGTTCACATTTTCTTTACAAAACTCCCCAAAACAGCTTTCTGTTGGTGGTGATGGCAGGAGAACAGTCTGCACTTAACATTTGAAGACTGTTTGCTGCTTAATGAAATAGCCAATCGTAGTAGAGCCCTTCTGCGCCGAGAAAGACGGCACCTTCCTTGGACATCCTACAATTCCAGATGACGTCTCCAACATAGCTACAGCCTCGCATGGGCGCCAATCTGTGCATCGGCTGCCCCGGGAAACAGAAACAGCCAGCTGCCTGCTCTAGTAACTCCTCTCAGTCAGGAGACAGAAGACAGGCATCCGCTCAAGTTTCTTATCCAGCTAGAAGCCCCAATAACATGTTTGACCAAGTAGGGCTGCTCAATTAATCGAATTTTAATCACGATTACGATCTGAGTTTTGAACGATTATAAAAAACAAAACAAGCCGATTATTTGCTCCTCCCGCCTGCGCTGCGCCGAGTTGCAAATGAAGCGCTCCTCCCACAGTGTTGCCAACTTTGTGACTTTGACGCTGTTTCTAGCTTCTTTTCAGACCCCCTTCTTGACTTTTTAACTTAAAAGTACCTAGCGAACATCTCAGAAACATCTCTGGTAACCCTTAGCTACTTTCTGGATAACTGTCGTCGACATTTCCTGCAGGTTAGCTAAACACTCCGCCTGCTCTCCGGACCGTTCTTCAGGACATTAGGAAAGGGAATGATGTAGTGATGTGTCGGTCGCTAAAGACAGCTCTCGGAGCCGGCTCCCTGTTGGATTAACCAGAGTGAGTGACACACACACCGCACCTGCGGGCTCCTGAGCCACTAAAACGGCTAAATGTGCGGCGTGCTAAACACACGAGCAGCTTGCCCCGATTGCTGTGAGACCGGGTTGGGGGGTGGGGGTGCAGCTGTGGTTGGGACAATTATTACATTAATTGATGGACTTGTAAATACATAGTTTATAAAAAGGTAGAAATAAGTTCCTCACGCTGATAAATAATAACTAATCTCTCTGAGGACACGGTGCTAGTGCACGCTCCAGCAGCACCTTGACACGACTAAATACGTATTACGCAACATTTTGTGAACATCAATTTATTTGCATGTATTTGTTATAAATGCCACTGTATAATTCTTGCTGTCAGTATTTGCCAGATATTGGTATTTGGGTCTGTACTGGTTAGACTTAAATGAGTTAAACCAAGGTCTGTAGCCCTTGGGTCATAGACTATGAGCTGTAAGTATATTGGTCTTTTTATCCTGGGAATCAGGAGTTATTTTAGTGATCATCTTGTTTCTTATTTTTGTCCTGATTGTGCCCTGAGCTGTTTTATGACTGAATAAAAACAAATAAAATCAACATAAATTGAAAAATCGTCCTAAATAATCGTGATCTCAATTTCAGTCACCATAATCGTGATTATTATTTTTGCCATAATCGAGCAGCCCTATGACCAAGCAGTTAAATGACACTGCATTTACCCCCATTCAACCAGCAAAATAAAGTACAGAAATATAATTTTACTTACTGATAAAAAGAAGCAGATTAACATCCGAACACGAACACACAGACAAAACTAAGGTTCAGAAAGTCAAAATGGCCGAACATCTATTAACGTGAAGCCAAGACTGAGGCCTTTGCCTGGAGCTAGCTCTGAAGTCATGTGGATGCTCATTAATTATTCTCAATCAATCAATCAATCAATCAAAGCTTTATTTATAAAGCGCCTTCCGCAACCCTGTCAGGAAGCCCAAAGCGCTGAGTTTTTTGAATTATTTTGAGTTTTAAGCATTTCCGTCGACTTAAACAGAAAAGTTACAAAAACATTCACGCCCCTCTGAGTTGTTATTAATGTAAACTAGATCTATTAATGGTTGTAAACATGTATTCTTAACATTGGAGTCACTAGTCACGTTTACATGGACACAATCGGATCGAACAACACCATCACAGCACACATGCAGCAGAAGCATTTCAGTGAAGCAGAGACGACGGTGATGAGGAAGTAGGAGGCAAGTCTTCAGTTTTAAGCATATTTGTTGTGTCAGTGGTAAGTAGAACAGTTAAATAAGCAATTACAAAAGTATGTTTCCCCTCAACATGCTTCCTAAGTTTATTGTGTGCCTCGTGGCTTCGCATTGAAAAGTTAACCTGAAAAAAAAAACTGCCGCAACATTACGCTCTATGCAGAACTCACGCTGCTTCCCCTTTAGTCATGCAGGGCAGTAAGTAAGTAACATTGGCCCTTTTCTGGTAGACATTCTGGAATATTCTCAGACAATTTCACCCGCTCTTCTTCTGCAGTCTTTTCAAACTCACACGACCGTTGTCGCTGCCAGGGAAGGTGGGGGGTGGGAGTGGGGGGGGTTGGCAACAAGGCAATGAAGCGCTGTGATAGCAGGGAGTCCCTGGGAGATGAGGAGGGGCAGTAATACAATGAGAAAATAAACATTCCTCTCTACAACAGAATAAATCTTTTGTATTTTTTCAACCTTATATTTTATATAAGGCTTACATATTGCCACATACTAGTCATTTAATGTATCTTAGTTTTTATTTTCCTAATACTGTCGGCTTTGGAAAGGATCCAAAACACTAAAGTGTAAAACTCAAAAGTATTTTAATGCCAAAAATCAGGTAGCTAGGACGCTGAAACCAGCATGAAAATAATTTTAAAGAAGAAAGAATCCTAAAAGGGAAAGAAGAATAACTAGAAAAAAACCTGACAACAAAATGAGTAGAAAATTCAGTGGAAGGAAAAAAATTAAAAAAGACTTGAATAGTAAATGAGAAAACCTTAACAGCTGGGGAACCAAACAAAAACAGAGCCATTGGTTTTGAGCCACAATGTCTGATTATCATTTATTTACATGATCATTTTTAAACTTTATGTATAAAAATGCCACATTTAATGTATTTTACTTTGTCTTAGTATCAACAGATATATAACTGTACTTTTATGCTGATTATTTTGTTACAGACCGAAAAAGAGGGTCGTAGTAAGGTGTGGGACTACTTCACTAAAGATCCATCTGGTGATTTATGTTTGTGCTATTATTTCCTGTCCAGGGTGAATAAGTTCACCAAGTTAACTTCCACAGACTCAGAAAACCAAAAATTTGACTGTTACATTTGACTAAGTTTGTGTGCTCTGTTGTTTGAGATCTGCTAAATAAAATCTTATTTGCATTACTTGGAAACCCTAATGAGTTATTGAGACAGTCCTTTGGTGTGTAATAAATAAGTTTGCATCAGAAAGGCAGAGAATGAAGGGTTTAAGGTTAAGAACATTTTTGTTTTTATTTCTTTTTTGTGAGGGAGATCTATCGGGCATTATATCGGCCTTTGTTAAAAGTTTTACATCGTATCGGTCCCAAAAAAAAGCATATCGGTCGGGCCCTACTGGAAACACGCATATTCATGTTGGGTTTGCAGCATGGATCTGTTTCTGTGAAGGCAGCAGCTGTTTCTGCAGCAGGTGATGGAGACGTCGTAAAGAAGACACAGTAACATCGGTTACACACACCTGGTTTGAGTTAAAGGAGACTGATGTTCAGTAGAAAAACATCCTCCTTTGGCAGGATAAACCTCCACGAATTAGCTTAAAAACGCTTCAGAAGACCAAAGACAGAGGAGGACTGGATCTACCCAACTTTTATTATTATTTCTTAGCCAACAGGCTGCAATATATACCAAGATGGTTGCAAGATAACCCACTAGATGAGTCTTGGTTAGATATAGAACAGACACTTTGCAATACGATAGAGCTTTCAGACTTACCATTTATTAGCTCAAGTAGAGCTGAAACAACTAATCGATTTAATCGATTATAATCGATTATTAAAATAGTTAACAACTTTTTTAGTCATCGATTAGTTGTTTAATAATCATATTTTACCGCATAAAGTCTATTTTTTACCACAATCTGACATCGGTTACAATCTGTTAAATTTGCCGCCAGTGTGTGGCAGTAATGAGCCACTGATCTACCAGTGGGGCCGTAGAAGAAGAAATTAGCCAATAAGTGCCCTCGGTTTTCATGACATATCACGTTACTGACGCGCATCTTGCTGTGAGAGATGGCGGATCAACAACAAATACGGAAGAAAAATAGAAGCGACAAAACAAGAGAAACCCCGGACAAAAACCTCACGAGTATGGGAGCACTTCACTAGATGCCTTGAAAAGACCGGTGACCTACAAAATATGCAAAAACCATGGCACGACGGAAGCACGACGTCCCTAAGTGAACATTTGAGACGAAAACGTGGGGGCTGATGCAGCAGAGGAATGTCCGGTAAGTAACAGAAAATAAACAAGCTAACGCAGATCACATTTGGGACTTAGTGTTAGCTGAGTTCGTTATAGTGGATGTTAAACATGTTTTTTTTTTTTTGCCGCGTCAGTTTACGGTGTTCTACTTCTGATTGACTAGATGCAATCGTGAATCTCCTCCGTGTTGTGTATCATGCGCTTGCCAAATTTAGCACGTCTGTTTATAAGAATGTTCTCGTTAAGAGAAAAACGGCACAAACCCATAACTGTGTTCCTCATTTAAAAAAGGACAACTCCGCGGAGAAAAATATACAGACGAGCTGTGTCCAGGTGAATATAACACGGCATAGTTGTACTTTCAATTTTTAAATACAGGAGAAATTCAGAAAGTCCTTTTTTTAACTATTAAAAGGCTGTTTTACTATCTAACGCTGTAAAACGCCTCACAACACATTTTTGTCAAAATAAATGATCACTGTATATTGTTAATTAATTCAAATAATGTAATATTGATTTAGTGTTGTAGTGTGTGTGCTGCTTTATTTTATATGTGTACTTAATTCAGTTTATTTGTGTTTCTTATGCAGAAAAAAACAAGCAACGATGGACAACTACATGGGGAACAAGACACTCACCCACAGCAATGCATACCACTTACAAACTCTATTCCAGATTCTACATTATTTTTTATGGAATTTACCTCTTATATTTTGATGCCAAAAAATTATTCTGGACTGATATTTTGCACTGTTTAGCTCATTTTACACTGCTGACTGTGGTCATGTGCAATAAAATAGATTGCAGTCAACTGCACAATTCTCTTATGTTTTTCTTTTTCTTAACTGAAATGTATTCATCACTTGTATAGGTTAAATAGCTAAACAATAACAAACCGATTAATCGATTAATCGAAAAAATAATCGACAGATTAATCGATTATGAAAATAATCGTTAGTTGCAGCCCTAAGCTCAAGCATAAGAAAACATGAAAGCTTCAAAAGTATTAGTATCAGCACCTCTCTGACAGCATGGTGGGAGTATCTTAAAATGACAGAGTCTTCACTAGTACCATGCAGATGCACACCTATCTGGAATAATCCTGATATTTTGCAAAATAATAAAATGATGAACCTTCTGGACTGGAAAAATATAGGAATCCTATACCTGGAACACATATATGAAGGATTGGACCTCATCCCATTTAATAGAATAGTCTCCCAATTTGGAATAGATAAGAATAGCTTTTTAGAATACCACCAAATCAAATCTGTAGTCAAACAAAAATTTAAGCTCAATAAAATAGAATTACAAACACCACCAAGGGTATTAGACTTTTATAATCTCAAACCCCCCAAACTACTGTCTAAAGTATATAAGACACTGTCCAAAATAGACGATAGAATAGCAATCCCTATTGAAAAATGGGAGGTGGATCTATCAGACAGCTTTGACCAGAACTTCTGGTCCCAAACTTGTTTAAAAACTTTTAAAATGATCAGACACTCCAATTTACAATTATTTCAGTACAAAATTCTACACAGAGTACACTATACAAGTCATCGGATGTTCAAGATGGGGTTTGGGTCATCTGACACCTGTACACACTGCACAAACAATGTTCCTGACAATTACATTCATGAACTGTGGTCCTGTCCACCTGTTCAGGAATTTTGGGGTGGAGTGTGTGAAGACCTGTCAAAGTCTCTGAAATGTCATATCCCAACCACCCCCTCTCTTTGTTTACTGGGAAACCTGTACGATGTCCCGATTGAAACATCTGTGGTTCACGTGGTTCTGACTGCCATATGCATCGCTAAGAAAATTATCCTCTTGAATTGAAAAAATAGAGAAACTCTCTGCATTAACCAGTATAGAAATCTTTTGTTAGATGATATTACACTTGATTTAGCCTCTGCTTCCACTTCAGATGAATCTCTCTGGGCTCCTTTGATTGGTTCCATCACATAGCGAGGGTGGGGGACCGTTGATGTTGTCCTGCGGGATGGTGTGGGTGGGGGGGTGGGGGGTCTGAGTTTGGAGTATTCGGATGTTCCCTGGAGGTGGGTTCACTAGGGGTGTCTGGGACTGGGGGGCCGTTGCCCTCCTCTGGAGGTGCTTGGGTTGCCTCGGGGGGTGGACTGCTGGCGGTTGTGAGTGAGGCCCCTTGGGGATCTTGGCGGCAGCCATGGGTCACTGCCTGGCAGCTGCATTGCCCCTGGGCGGGTCTGGGTGGGGGCCTGGGGGCTCGGGGTTTGGGGGTGGCCGGCCCCGTGTGGGGATCTGGGTGGGGCCTTGGGGCTCAGGTCCTGACATGTATGCTGCCGGGAAGAAGGCAGGAACATGCAGCAGTGCCTGGCCCGGGTTCGGGGGCCTCAGGTAGACCTTGGCTCCTCTGCCGTTCCATCACAGGGGAGGGGGAGGACCCAACCTTACCTGGATGTCCCATGTCTTCTATATTCTGGAAGTTGTGCAAATGCAGGGATGGGCATAGATATTCTGCTGGGGTGGGGCTGGGTTGGTGCCCTCGGACTCCGCGGGGCTCTGTAATGCTGCTGCTTTGGGCCCTGGCAAGATGGGCTGGGGTCTCCATGCCCTGGGTGGCGGTTGACAACAGAGGTGCCTATTGGGGCCAGTAGGGGAGCTGGCTCCCTTGAGGGCTAAGCCCAACCAGCCATTCCTCCACATCCCCGCATATTTCTCTCCTCCTGCTCCCTCACATCATCACACAAACATACACATAGGACCTTGGGGGGTGGGCAAGTCAGGGAGTGCGGGTATGGACCCAAATTTCCGCATTCCTGTGGCAACCTGCCCCCCAATTTTATTTGCACCTTATACACTTCCACTGATGACATTCCACACAAACACACACTTAGGGCCTTGGGAGTGAGCACATTCAACGGCATTTGGCGGGGGGATTTTTCAGCCTCCTCCCGAGTGCCGATTCCCACTTCCAATTTTAAACCACACTTAGACACCGAGGGTTGAGGGTGTGAGTGGGGTGGTGCGGTGGCATCAGCTGGCATAGGCCGGATGATGCCCGCACTGCCCGCTCACCACAGCCATGGAATACACCTCATGATCACACAACACTATATTGGAGCAGGCGGAGGGAGACTAGGGGTCTTAGCACACCTCTGTTGTTGCTTGGCTTCCTGGGGCTGGAGGCTAGGAGGGAGATCTGGCCGTCTGGTTGGGGTCTGGGGTGGTGGGTTGCTGTGCTCAGCGTTGGGCGGGGGAGCCTGCTCATCAGCACCCCGGCAGAAAGGGCCAAACTCTGGTTACCGGTGATGGCTGTACCCAATGTGCAGCACTACCGGGACCAGAGTGAATAGGGTGTGTATGGGGAGCATGAGTGGGTGTCCGGCATCCATTTTTGTAAGTCTTTGGTTGTATGTGCATGTGTGAGCATGAGGGAGGGAGTGTGTGACAGTGTTTGTGTATGACTGTATATGTCAGGTGGGGCCTTTGACTCCTCCCATCTCCTGGAACTTCTTTTGACGATATAGATCTTCGTCCCCCCTCCCCCTGCCACACCTGGTGTGAGGGGTCTTGCCTTGGTCTGCCTGAGTGTTCGTGGCAACCGGGTCTGGGTTTTTTAGATTTTTGGCATCTGCCTGATCAATCCCGGTGGCTGCCTGGTGGGGTCTGGGTCCCTGGGCTCTGCTGGGTCCCTGGCGGGGGGTGGTCGCCCCTGGGTCCCGGGTCGCTGGGTCCCGGGCTCTGCCGGCTAGGGGGTGGGAGGCTGCGGGGAGCCTGTGGGCTTGCCGCTGATATCTCCCAGGATTCTGCCGGCTGCTGGTTGTGGCCCCCCGGGGCCATCCTCTGTGCCTCTCGGGGGGGGGGGGGGGGGGGGGGGGGGGCTTTCTGGTTGCAGTCTCCTTGGGGTTCCGGTGTTCTGGGGCAGCGCCTGGATCTCTGGGACTTGGAGCTCCCCCCATCTCCTACGCATCTTTGGGGGGCGGATCTGTGGTCCCTCACACTCTCTGTTGGACGCTCCTATAGAGAAACCTTACATAAGCAAGCGCGTGTACACACACAGGTGCTGACATGGTGCTCTCAAAAGTATGGGCTTGGGCACGTTAAACACAGGTCTTAAGACTATGGTGGGCACTTAATGCACTGTGATTTGTTATCGTGTGATTCTTCAGTTAAACAATGTAGATTATATAATTCTTCATCAAGTTGACGCAGTGATAGCTTGATCTTGTATTGTTGTTGTGTCCCACTTTTTTTTGTTCTTTTGGTTTGTTTATGAACACTAGGGCTGTCGCGGTAACCGCAAAAATGAAATATCGCAATATGAAGAAGCCCACCGCGCTGCATCATGGGCCACCGCGATTACTGAACTTGGTTCAACTCAATGATGCATGTTGAGAAGGATGGCTGCACTGGTGTCAAAACGAAACGTTACTTCGCTCCTGTGGGAGCACTTTGGTTTTCAGTACGTCAGCTGCTGCGCAGCCAGGGTCCTTGGCCGAGACAGAGCTGCAGCGGCAAAAATAAATAAATAAATAAATAAACGCTCGGAGACCTGCTGAAGTCTTGGACAAGCACTGCTTCTGCAACCGTCCTGAAGAGAGTTTGAGCCGAGCTGGAGCTCACTCGCTACCTGCAGGAGGAATGCACCCACCCTAAAGAAAACCCCCCTGACATGGTGGAGCAACAACCGGGAGAGATTCCCTTTGCTCGCCAGAGTCGCACGCAAGTACGTGTGCGTTAGTGCAACGAGCGCACCATCCGAGAGGGGTTTCAGTGTTGCTGGAAATGTTGCCACCCCTCTCAGATCCTCTCTCAAACCGTATATGGTTAACATGCTGGTTTTCCTTGTGGGTAACAAGGACGTGACCGAGCTATAAATCACCGTCATTCGTGTGTGTGAAAATGAAATGATAGTGCGCCCCAACCCTCCGCCCCGCGCATGTAATTTTTTATGCTTGATTTTAAACAACTAAACAAAATGGGGACTTGTTTCTTATTTGTTAGATGCTGCAGCCAAATTTGCATTTAAAAGTTTAACCTTCTCCTGAATTTTGTTGTTTTTAAGTTCAGTCGGACTCCGACTGTCGGAGAAACAAACGTTACTGCGATCTGTGTTGTTACTGCCCTTTGATCTGCATTCAGTAAAGCGTTATAAAAGAAGGCACGGCAATTTTTAACCTTTTTTAAATGTGTAAACATTATGTTTAGATAGTACTGCAATAAAAAAAGGGCTGCAATAATATCGCACACCGCAATATTAAGCCACCCTGAATCACCGCAGGAGGAATTCCTCAACCGCGACAGCCCTAATGAACACATGATGAAAACATGAAGAACACATGAACACAGGCTTCCGAAATTTCTGAACATCTCCTGTTATTTAGTTTGAAGCAGATTTTCTCAACAGTTTCAGCTGATTGTCACATTTTATTAATAATAAACCACAACAGAGCTCAGTAATAACACGAGTCTGACCCCCCACCCCCACCCCATAACGTCAGACCCACGGAGCAGCTGATCAGGAGGCAGAGACGAAGATAACCCAATCTTATTTTATTGTTGTCAACAATAAAACGCAGCAAAGCGTAAACCTGCAGTTATTCACTGAAGAAAACGTGACTTCTTTGAGCAAAATAAAAATATTAAATAGATTAAATGAATCAGGAAGAATTTTTTTTCTTTATTTTACATTTTTCATTTCGATTCATGACGTTTGTTTACTTTTTTTTTTCAGGAAAGAAAACTGTGCATGCTCAACCTGTTTAATCTGATTGGATACTTGGTGCATATAAACTCACAGCATGATCGGATCATTTCAGTTAGTGTGCATGTAAACA